ACGGTGGATTACTCCTCGAAGTTCGCGGAGACGTCACTGCGGTGGAGGCCTTAAGAGCGGAGGTAGCCAGATCAGCGGGAACAGATGCCAACGTTAGGCTGCTCCAACAAAAAACTATGCTCGAAATCAGGGACATCGATGCATGGACATGCAAAGAGGACATTGCGGAATCCACTGAAAGGGAGACTGCTGTCGCTAAATCGAACATCAATGTAGTTAGCCTGAGAGCTTCCTATGGTGGCACCCAGACAGCCTTGGTGCTCCTGCCCTCGAACCAGGCACGTATTATGGTCGACAAGGGACGATTGAAAGTCAGTGTCGTGAGCTGCAGGGTACGACAAGCGGAAAGGAGTGCGAGATGTTTCAGATGCATGGGCCATGGCCATGAATACAAGTCGTGTCAAGGTGTTGACCGTAGTGCAGATTGTAGACGTTGCGGTAAAACAGGCCACAAGGCCAAGGACTGCGTAGCAGAAGCGGAAGAAGCAACGGCGTTTAGGTCATTATTAGCGAAGGAGTCTCAGGAGGCACATTCGCTACTGAAATGACAAACTTTATACAAGTAAACCTCAACAGGGCGAGAGCGGCCCAGGCCCTACTGTTGCAAATGATGTACGAACATAAGGCCGATGTGGCCATCATCAGCGAGCCGAATAAAATTCCAGACAACGATAGATGGAACGGTAGCACTGATGACTCATGTTGTCTCCTACTATCAAAGGACACCGAGGTGATGGACAGCGGGCAAGGGGAAGGATATGTATGGGTGGATTTTGTGTCATACAGAGTGTACAGCTGCTATTTTTCTCCGAGCAAAAAACATTCACTGGTTAATTACAGAGCTTACCTGAGTAACCTGAGTGACAGCATACGTCAGGGACCCAGCGAGGTCATTGTGGCAGGTGACTTCAATGCGCACTCCCCGAGTTGGGGCTCTCCCACGATGTGTGACAAAGGTGATGCACTTAGAGATATGGCCAACTCACTCGGGCTCATAGTGATGAACCAGGGTCGAGCACCAACATTTGAACGCCGTGGACAAGAGTCCCACATTGACGTGACTTTTGCCTCACCGTCGACCTCCAGGAAGATTCGGGACTGGCAAGTGCTAGAGGAGGACATCGCTAGTGACCACCACCCAATCTTTTTCAGCACACGGTCGTCAGTGCAACCGGCAAATAACCAGAATAAAGGCTGGTCATGGAGGCGTATGGATGAATTAAAATTAGTGACCTATCTCCAGAACTACGTTCAAACGGAGGGTCAAGTCACGTTTGATGATGACGGTCTTCACAAGTTTCTGGAGTCAGCATGCGACAGCTGTATGCCTCGGAGATGCGCCAAGACTCATAAGAAAGCAGTACACTGGTGGACGGAAGATATTGCTAACTTGAGGAAATCAAGCTTCAAGGCTAGAAGGGCGTACCAAAAAGCCTGTAAGCGCAGGGGTCGGGAACACTGTCAGCAGGAACATCAGAATGCCAGAGAAGCATCACGGGCCCTGAGATTGGAGATCCAGCGCAGCCAGGAAAGATGTTGGGCAGACCTCTGCAGACAAGTAGACAACGACCCCTGGGGTCTACCGTACAAGCTAGTAACAAAAAAGCTAATTGGTCGGCGGCCGATACCAGGTATCAGGCTCCCAGGTCGCCTTGATACAATCGTGGATCACCTATTCCCAAGCTCGGAACCACCTGTATACCCAACAGTTGCACTTCAGGTCCCTGAAGATTGTTTGTTTACGCTGGAAGAGCTGAAGGAGGCAGGACGCTGTCTTCCCAAAGGGAAAGCACCAGGACCAGATGGTGTGCCCGATGCAGTACTACGCGTGGTCGTACAAGTTCGCCCTGACCTCCTGTTGCCGACATTTAATCAATGCTTGAGGACTGGCACTTTCTTTGATAGCTGGAAAACGGCTACACTAGTGCTGCTACGCAAGGGAATGAAACCACTGGATCAACCGTCATCGTACAGACCACTATGTCTGATTAACTCGATAGGTAAGCTATTTGAAATGCTGCTCAAAGCACGTATAATTCGGCACCTTCACAGACAACCAAACGGCATCTCGACCCAACAATATGGTTTCATGAAAGGGAGATCTACCATCCAAGCTATAGAGCAAGTAATGAAAATCGTTAACCAAGCTGGCAGCGGACAATTGTACAACAGGAAACTCTGTGCCCTAGTCTCGATGGATGTCGCAAACGCGTTTAACTCAGCTCCTTGGGACAAGATTGACGAGGCTATGATTGCTAAAAGGTTTCCGTCTTATCTAATAGCCATGATCAGATCATATTTCGAACGTAGAAGCATCCTGACAGAAGCGGGGCAGCGCCCAGTCACCACCGGCGTTCCACAAGGGTCCGTCATCGGCCCCATTTTATGGAACATATATTACGATGATCTGATGAGGTTAGAATACCCAGAAAGTGTTAAAATCATCTGCTTCGCGGATGACGCTGCTCTTGTAGCCACAGGAAAGACAACATGTCTACTTGAGGAAGTTATGAACGACTCCCTACAGAGGGTAGCGGCGTGGATGGCGAACCATGGCCTGTTGTTATCAAGCAGTAGTGCTCTGCATGGTCCGGTCTAAATCAGTCCGGTCCGGATCGGACCGGACCGTGGTGCGGTTTGGTTCGGTCCTAATACGTAAAAACTAACGAATCGTCTATTTGGTCTGGTTCATTATTTTTTAGGAGTAATTCGGTCCAGTTCGGTCCAGTCCCCTGATCAAATGAATAATTTTCAGTCCGGTTCGGTTTTAAAAAAAAAATTTTAATTGGTTCGGTCCGGTCTCAGTTCGGTCCGAATTTAGTCCGGTCCCGAATCCCGATCACAGTACTTAAAGTCTAAATAGGATTGATTCACTTTTATTCTTCATTATAAATACAGTTGATAGGATAACGTTTTGACATATTTATTGTAGGCAATCAGTTTATTTTTAGTGCGGGACGTGGGTATTTATTTGTTTCCCGAAATTACGACGACGTCGATTTCCGATAAGAATAATATGCTATATAGGTATAATAATAATTAATATGATATAAGTTATGTTATTAACATTCGTCACAATTAAACGTTAATGATAAAATATATTTCGTCGTAATTGGAGGAATTGGAAAATAAAAAATTATTTTTAGTTAATAGCAATTATAGTAAAGTTCTAGTATGAATAAGATATTTTATTATTTTCATATGAAACGTATGATACCTAATTTTAAAGTAGATTTAATGTCAACGATTATCACTCATTCCAAACCTGGCAACACTGATTACAGAATAAATGGTCGAGGTAAGTAAGATATTTCAAATTATTCCTATTACATAACTCTTACTACATGCTGTTTACTAATTGTAAACTGTAATAGTATAACTGTTGTCTGTTTTTGCACGTCTATGTATTTGGTATTTAAATTCTACAGTTTATGGTTTTTTGAGTACCTATAGGCTATAATACTTTTTTGTAGTTATTTTATACATTCAGTAAATAATATATTTAATCACATCTTAATTTATCATTTTTGGTCGTTATTCTACAGTCTTCAGTACTGTACACGTTTAGTGATATAATTTGTTTATTCATATATTGTTTGTTGAATTCGGTAGACAGTACCACTGTTGCCTNCAAGCAGTAAGTCTACGGCGGTCATGTTGACGACCAAGCGAGGTTACGACAAGCCAAAATTCAGTATCAACGGTGTGGAAATAGCACTGAGCGGCAACATTCGATATCTGGGCGTTCAACTGAGCTCAGTTTTAGGATTTGGAAAGCATGTAGAGACGGCCAGTGACAAGGCGATGAACACAGTTTCGGCGCTGACACGACTGATGCCTAATGTCGGAGGCCCGTCTGCAGAAAAGAGGAAACTGCTATCCACAGTGGTACAGTCACAGCTGTTGTACGCGGCACCCATATGGCACAGTGCACTACGCCACGTGAAGTATAAGGCTAAACTGTCCTCGCCCCAGAGGAAAATGGCTCTGCGAGTAGCGAGCGCTTACTGCACTGTGTCCTCAGATGCCATAATGGTGGTGTCCGGCACAATACCGATCCACCTCCTGGCTGCAGAAAGGGCGGAGATCGAGACGGCTATTAAAACCGGTGCCACTCCAGAAACCGCCAAACAAGAGGCCAGAGCCCGGACGATAGGTAAATGGCAGCAAGAATGGGATGGAGCAGTCAATGGGCGTTGGACGCATCGACTGATACCCAACATCCAACCATGGATTTATAGGAGGTGGGGCTCCATCAAGTATCACTTGACCCAATTCTTAACGGGTCACGGTTGCTTCAACACATACTTACTCAAATACAAGAGACGCGATGATGCCGTGTGCATGTACTGCGGCCACGCACAAGATGATGTAGAACACACTTTAATCGACTGCGACAGGTGGTGGAGGCAGAGACGCGAGCTGGAGGTGAAGCTTGGACGTGTTGTCACCCCGGAGAGTTGGCTTGATGGGATGCTAGAGAAGCGGAAAAAATGGGATGCAGTGGTCAACTAAATCACTTCAGTACTGTCGAGGAAGGAAGCCGATGAACGGGCAATACAGGCAGCTGCAAGAAACTTATAGTTAGTTAAGTATATAATGTGGCTCGAAGAGCAATTAGTGGGGATAGAGCCCCCGCACGTGCTGTACATACTCGATGTAAGTATCAGACAGAGGGAGATTGGCCCTCCGCTGGTACGATTTAAGTTGTGAGTTTATAATAAACGATGGTCGGCGGGGGCAAGTAGTGTGTCGCGCAAGCTAACAGTTCGCCCCTGTCGATCGGTTTAAAAAAAAAAAAAAAAAAAAAAGGAGTACTGGTGCATCACGTTTAGACGACAATATAAATATGAATTGAATGGGCTTTAATAAGATGATAAGACGATAGTATTTTGCCTGAAGCACTGTGTAACGCTAAGACTCTTGTTATTTTTTTATTTTTTTATTTTTTTATTGAATAAATAATATAGTTACATACATTAGTTATTTAATTCACCCCATTAAGCATAGCTTGTGGCGAGGTAAATGAGTTGTTTGTTAACAAATAAAGTCTATAAAATACATAGAAATTACAGTATTTATATAACTTATTTCCTAATTAGACATGCAATACAGTTAAAGATTAAGTAACAACCAGTTTACAATAGTTCTTTTTTTAAATTCATAATTATTTTTATATACATTTTTTACAATATTTTTTTTCAGCTCAAATGGCATAGCATTAAAATTAATTGAACCTAAATAATCAATGAACATATTACCTATATTTTTTTTTGTGTAACTAACATGCAAATCGTAAGCCCTGTGCTCCCGTTTATTGACGTTTTTAATAGTAATTTTACCGGCTTTAAATAGAATGGAGAACTGCTTATATAAATAACGGACCGGTAGGACTCTCATTTCTTTATAGTTTAAGGAAGTCGAGCCATAGAGCTCCTTTTTCCCTAGACACAATCTTACTGCATGATTTTGTTGAATCACCAGTGGTTTTATAGCATTATCAGAACACCCACCCCATACTAAAAGACCGTATTGGAAAATTGACTTATAAAGTGCGTTATATACAGTATACATTGTTTCAGTAGGTAAGAGTTTATTAAGTTTGAAGAATTTGCAAATAACAGATCTTAATCTCATAACCACATTTTCAATATGAAATTTCCACCGTAGATTCCAGTCTAAAATAAGACCTAAATATTTAACAATCGTAACCCTACTTATTTTTTGGCAGTTACATGATTTAAAATTTAAATCTTGATTTTTACAAGAGTGAATAATAATATCATCGAAAGGTATGTACGTATTATAAATTGAGAAAGCAATGAAAACACTTTTACTTATATTCAAAGTCAACTTATTATTATTTAGTTCTTTAAAAACAGTATTTACTCCAACAGTCGTTTTTTGATGAACGTCATCCCAAGAGTTTCCAGAAAAAAGTAAACAGGTATCATCAGCATAGGTTACAACTTGACCGTCAATACGTAGGTTACAGATGTTATTTATATACAAAATGAATAAAAGGGGTCCTAAAACACTGCCTTGCGGTACACCGTAATCGATTTCACCCTCAGCGCTATGAACGCCATTTATCGAAACAACTTGTTTACGGTTTTTTAGATAACTTTTGAACCACATAAGACTTTCATTTGATATTCCAAAACAAGGCAACATTTTAATAAGTTCCTCGTGACTAACCGTGTCAAATGCTTTCGCGAGATCTAAGAAGACAGCAATTACTTTTTTGTTATTGTCTAATTCATTATATAAAAATTTGGACGTCTCGTAGAGCGCTCCAGTTGTACTTCTACCAGGTCGAAAACCAAATTGATTTTTAGATAATAATTCATTCGCTTCTAAAAAGGTTATAAGTCTAGCTTTAATTATTTTTTCGAAAATTTTTGAGAAATTGCAAAGCATGGAAATCGGTCTATAGTTGGTCACATTTTTTTTATCACCTGTTTTATAAAGTGGTTTGACGATTGCGAGTTTAAATTTTTCTGGAAATACACCCTTTTCGAGGCATATATTTAGTATATAGATAAGAGGGTCTACAATATACGGAACTATGTGCTTTAAAAGTTTAACTGAAATGTTGTCAAAACCAGCTGCCGTTCTGTCTTTGAAATTGTTTATGATATTTTGGACCTCGGTTTTTTCAATCTTTTTAAGAAAGAGCTGATTAAAAGAACAACTTGGTACTTCAACATCGTAATTAAGCAAACTGTTACTGAATTTTACAGCTAGGTCTTTACCAACGCTTATGAAGAAAGAATTAAAAATATTTGCTATATTTGCTGGATCTTTTTGTGGGTTAACTGTTTGACCATTATTTTCGATATTATTTTTGAATGTATCATTGTTTGAGTTATTATTGTTATCTGTTAAATTGTTTATTAATTTCCAAGTTAATTTAGGATTAGTGATTGCACTAGAAAATTTTGATTTGTAAAATAGTATTTTCCTTGCTCTTAGAATTGAAGTAAATTTATTACGATATTTAATGAAATAAGCACGTAAGTTAACATTATTAGGATGTTTTTTAACCAGTTTAGAAATATCATTTTTACGACGAGCCGAAATTAACAGTCCCTTTGTCATCCATTCTTTAATGAATTTATTTTTAGAATTAAGCTTAATTTCGTAGCTAGAGTTTTCAATATGCTTTAATAGCTTTGCATAAAATATATCAATTTGTTCGTTAATATTTAATGTACTATTCAAAACAGACCAATTTTCTTTACTTAATAAACTGCATAAGAGGTCGTAGTTGACACTCTTTTTAATAAGTGTATTATCAGAACTAACATGATTAGAAATTGGTACTGCTGCAAAAATAGAGAAATGGTCAGTGATATGTGATTGTATAACACCTGCTTCAATTAGATTTAAATTAGATTGTTGAGTTTTAATAAAAATATGATCTAAACACGAGTAATTTCCTTTTAGAGGTAATCTAGTATATATGTTTATATATGACTTATAACCGTGTTCGGCTAACATGTCAAGATAATCATTATTTATATTCTCTATAATATTTATGTTCATATCTCCAATTAAGAAGTTATAGCCCTTATCTGTATTTTCTTTATCAAATATATTTCGTAAGTTTACGATAAAATCATTAGTGTTGCTAGCAGGCGATCGGTAAACGCAGTAAAATACCAAAGGCGTATTATTAATACATAGTGACAATTTTAAGATGTTGCTATCAACAGAACCAAATTCATATAAAATTACCGGTAAATCACATTTCACGAATACTATTACTCCATCATTTTGGTTTCGTTTAGTGGATGAATAGTATGTATTATAACCAGGTATTGTAAACACGCAGTTCTCCACACTATGCCATGTTTCAGTTAATATGAGAATGTCTATTTTTTTATAATTAATGTCATTTTCTAAATATAACAGTAGTTCATCAAAATTTGCATTTACACTACGTATGTTAGTACACATTACATTAAAAAAGGTAATTTCGTTGTTATTAAGATTAAAATTATTTACAAAGTCAGTTACAGAATCAAAATATCTAGTGTTATAATTATTATATTTTTCAATAACATCAATTACGTCAGTCATTAAAAGAAATAACTAAAATAAATAAGAAGTACCTAACTCAAACTTATACCATTCTAGATATAGATAATTCATCATCAATAATTATTGGCTTTGAAGTGTCATTTTTTTTAGCGAAAATTATGTTGTTTTTGAACCAAATGTATTTGTAACCGACCTGCTTAGCTGAAGTTCTCGCTTTGAAAAATAGATTTCTGTATGTATAGGTCATTTTTTCGTTGAAATATACAGCAGATTCGTTCCAAGTTGGGTCCAGGTCCTTTGCAACTAGTTTATGTTTTTTCGCTAGTTCCATAACTTTAGATTTATCATTCACCGTGTTGAAACACACAGATAAAATTCTGGGTTTATTCAGAAATTTTGATTGAAGTCGAAAAACTTTTTGTGCCGTAACATCAGTGCCCAGTTTGTTTAAAATAGTTTGAGTAGTGTTGGTACAAATTTCATTTTTAGACTCAGGTACGCCTACAATTTCTATCTGACACTCTAATGTTTTTTGTTCAATTTTATTTAAACGCCACGACAAATTCTCAGTTTCCTTTTTTAAAAGTATATTTTCTTCTGTAATTCTTTTGTTTTCACACTTTAAATCATTTATAGTTGATAACAAATGCTTTAATTAATTATTAAAATCATCAAACTGAGAACTCATAAAGTTCACAGATTCAACAACACTTTTCAGTGTTTCATCTGTGACTGTTTGAGATTTTCCGACCATGACTGGTGTCATTACTGACTTTTTTGTTTTGCAATTTGAGCAGGTCCATAATTTTTTTAGAGCGACCGACATTTTTTTAAAACTCACTTCTCGGAGGCCTGCGCAATTGAAATGTAAAAACTCATTGCATTTAGTACACTTGATGTCATCGCCCTGAGGAATATCTTCAATGCAAACAATACACAACATTTCGTATTAGTATAGAAAGTTAGTTACGAAAAGAAACCGGAGATAAGAGAGCAATAAAAACTGTTATCGAACTGTACAACCTTCCACGATAGACGGCAGTACGCAACTGTTATAAATAGTAAAATAGTCTATTCTGAACCAAAAGAAAATGAATTTAAAAGTTAAACCACTGAGATTACTATGCTATTAGATTTTTTTTAAATCAAAGAAGTTGAAAAAAAATGCTCCATGAAGACAAAATAGACCTCATAAAAACTTGATTGAAGTGATAAAATTAAATAACTACTAAAATGTATGTTTACGAATTACGTTATACGTATATATATGTAATTAATAATGTTATTTTGTCTTAATTGTCATTAAAAGAGTGATGATAAGACCTTTATTTTTTTTTTTCATTTATTAAAGATTAAAATGTATCAACATATTACATGTTACAACAAGTTAGTTATTAAATAACGTCGAAGTTGAAGTTCTTGACCTAGACGCTGTGTCTTCTGCAGCTGAAGTGTTAGAGGCCCTCCGCGACGCTCTACCTGGACAGGACGATCCAGGGACCAGAGCTGAGCGTGAAGGTATCGGAGATATGAGGATTTGGCCTATTCGTTCTGGGCAACGGATTGCTACGGCCAAAATGTCCAGGTACGCTGCTTCTGTTATTACTAGAATCCCAGTAGGTTGGACGATGTGCCGGGTCCGCCCTAGGACGCATCTACCTGAGAGATGCTTCCGATGCCATGTCTTTGGCCATAACTCAAGGAGCTGTACGGACCCAGACATGACTGGTGCCTGTTGGCGGTGTGGACAAATAGGACATGTTATGAAGGATTGCTCGAAGACTGACGATAACTGCCTGGCGTGTGAAGTGGCAGGTTTTCCCAAGATTAGTCACAAGCCAGGCTCAGGAGCTTGTGCTGCCAGAAAGTTAGCGGCGGGACCGAAGGCCACCGTGATAAATGGTTAAATGCCTACAGATCAACCTGAACAAAGCATACGGCGCTTCGAACTTGCTACAACAAACTGCCTCGGAGCGGAATTCGCAATTGCTTATTGTTAGCGAACCCTGTATGAGGGAGATCGAGGATGACAGGTGGGTCTTTAGCTCAGATGCAAAGTGTGCCAAAGCAACCCCCTCACACGCTGACATTATGCATAACATATCTGACCGCTCAAATGGTTTTGCATGGGGTAATTTCGGCAGTACTATCGTATATAGTTGCTACTATTCCCCGAACTGCCAAATCTGGGAGTTCACTGCATTCCTCGATGACCTTGACCGCTCCCTCCGCCTTCATGCCCGACAAGGCGTTATTCTCGCCGATGACTTCAACGCGAAGAGCAGTATCTGGGGATCTAGAACGAATGATAGAAGAGGGGAACTCTTGGCTGACTTGATCGCAAGCCACGACCTCCTCGTCGCTAACACTGGCAGCACTCACACCTTCGGGAGAGGAAACGCCACCTCAGTCATCGACGTCACATTTTACAGGGGCGTTGTCGTCTCCGACTGGTCAGTACTTGATGCTGTTTCCTTAAGTGACCACCGGTATATCGAGTTTAGTTTTTACGCCAACGAGACGGATAGCGTTCTTGACACTCCTCCACCAGAGCCTGTTGCAATCCAGCATGTCGGCTGGTCTGTAAAGAAGTTGAACTGGGATGCTCTTTCAGAGTTCATCGCTTCCAACCCACTGGTTCTCCCGGAGCTCAGTGACCCCGTAATGAGAGCCACAGCGGCTGCGGACGGAATTAATGAGTATCTCACCAAAGCATGCAGCATCTCAATGCCTCGTAGACGACCAGGCCCTTATAATAAGAGCCCGGTCTACTGGTGGTCGGAGGACATTGCGGCGCTACGCCGGTCGGTCTTCCATCACAGACTGAGTTACCAAGCATGCCTAAGAAGATATGGACCAGATGGAAGCCATGACGCAAGGATTGCGGATACCATGGCGAGGAGGAGTTTGTGCCTAGCAATCAGAAAAGCGAAGGAAAAAAGTTGGATGGACATGTGTTCACAGGTCGATAATGATCCCTGGGGGATGCCTTACCGCTTGGTCATGCGGAAGCTGGGTAACAAGGCCTCTAGTTTAGCGATCAAAGGGAAAGAATTGGAGGTTGCTGCTCATCTGTTCCCAGATGCCCCGGTGACAAATTGGGACTCTGAGCCCACCCCAGCTGTATACAATATCTTTGACGCGTTTGACCCCGACACGGACGATCTAGTCTTCACACTTCCGCTCCCGGAGTTTACGACTGAAGAGCTCTTCACAGCGATTAAACGTCTCTCCCCGGGTAAGGCTGGTGGCCCATCGGGGATAGATGGATGTCAAGTAGAGGCCTTCAGCTCGCCCATCAAAAGAGCGAGGCCGTAATGCTGACTAGGAGATGGGTATGTGCTCCCCCAAACCTATCGATATGTGGACACCCAATAGCGATAAATAAGCAGCTGCGGTACCTCGGGGTCATTCTGGACCAAAGGCTGACTTTTGCAAAACATATGGACACGGTCGCCAAGAAAGCCTCACGCTCAGCACTCGCTTTAGCAAGGCTTATGCCCAACATAGCGATCCAAGCCAATGGAAGAGGAGGCTTCTCTGTTCGGTGGTAGAAAGCCAGCTGTTGTATGCCGCTCCTGTGTGGATTAACCCTGTATCAGCCTCCGCTAGGACCAGGGCTAATCTCATACGACCGCAGAGGTCTGCTGCTCTAAGGGTTATCCGGGCTTACCGGACGGTGTCAGACGAGGCTTCTCTGTTGTCAGCCGCCATGGCTCCAGCTGATCTCTTAGGGGAAGAGACTAAGAATTAGGGTCCGAACGCACGTTCTAGCACTGCCCGGTGATCCGGTGTGTGTGTTATTTTATTTATTAGGGATGTTAAAACAGCAAGAAGGGGTTAAGTATTGTTGCGGGCCTTGACACTCTAGGCGCCACTATTCGCTATATAATAACATAGTATATAACATTGTATATAATATAATATAATATATCATAATGTTATTACGGTCTTAAACTCCATATATATAATTAACATAAATATTGCAACAATATAATATAGAATATGTACTATCCGCCCCTATCCATAAATCACTGGACAGGTACACGACTAGAAATCATGGACACGAGTCTCTATTCTAAGAATTGGCAACAACAACCGAAACACACACACACATACAAGCTGCACGCGCCGCTACATCAAAGGAACCGCCATCACTTATAAGGGAGCCCGTGGGACAGCCTGAGCAGATGTATCATAGCCACGGAGACCAGAGCAACTTCTCGTCACACGCGCACACGCTATTATACACTTACTATATTTTCTGCTAAATAAACGTAATTCTACAGTTCAATTTGGCACTTGTTTGATTTGTCTCTAAAACTTACGGCTTTTGGAGCCTTTGAGATTACGCACACAACAGTATAGATTTTAGTTCGTCCAGGAATTTAGTGATGATGCGTAGAGATTTATCGGGTGGTGATTTGTTAAAAGACCTTTTTAACATACCTTATTTATACTATAATATTAAAAAATTAATTTTGATTTAAAAAGTTACAATGAGTCATTTATATTATAAATTTGTTTTTTTTTTTTATGTTAACACATATATTTAATTTGTATGCATATTTTAAAAACTTTATAATGAAATTTAAACAATGTCTGATTTAAAAAAAAATGGTTTGTTAGATATTACCTATATATTATAATTTATAACAAAAACTATATTCGGTTATATCATTTAAAATAAAATTTTTTAAATTCAATAATAAAATCATTCAGCTAAAATGTAGCACTGAAAATATTGTAAGCTATTTTTAGTGCCTCTCGTAAAGCTTTTCTTTTTTTCAAGATAATATCTAAATTGATTGAATAATCATCATTCACCATGATCAGCCAACAATCATATTTCATCATCTAACTATGTGCATTTAGTGTACACTGGAATAGCAGGTGAAACATAAAAAAGCTAGTGCAGCGAGGTGGAAAACGGTAAAAACAAAATTATTAATAATACTTTATTAACAATTTTTTCTTATTACAATAATACTTTTCAAAATATGAAATGTTGGTGAATAACAAGGTCAACATATAAACAGTAATAATAATGATATAAATTATAATTATAGGTGCTTAAATACAATGAGTATCAAACCTATTCATTTACAATTCAAAGTACTAAAAACACTATACTTAAATTTATTTTGAATTTCATTTTTTGAATAGCTGTAGTTTAAAAATACAATAATGAATATCTAAACCAAATACATTCAAATATGATTTTCCATTAAAAACCCTACCAAAAAAAACCTATGTTATAAAACTAAAGATAAAAAATGAATTTATGCTATTCTGTACTTTCAATTCTGAGCTATTTCCCTTAGATTTTTTAAGCTTCTGTTGTTTTTGGCTCATACCTTAAGAAATTATTTGGAAAATCAAATTTTACAATTTCAAATTGACTGCTATTGCTTAGTTATTTCTATGCAGAACATATGGATTTTTTACTTAATGAAAATGTGTTCTCCAAAGAAAACCTTTTAAATAGTATGTTATATAATATAATGTATATAATATTCAAAATGCAAATGCAATATATTTTAAAGAAAACCATATGAAGGTCTTACAAAATTACATTTTTGATAAATTTACACATTGCAATTTTAACGCCTAAATATTGTTTTTTTGCCACTAAAAGTAATATTAAACAACATAAATGTAAAAAAAAAATACTTATATTTGACATAAATTGTATACCTCAAAATAGGTACCAAAACATTAAAAAAACAAAATGTGTATTGTACATAACTTACTTCTAATTTTTTTTATGTAATAAGATTTATTTTTACTGTTACTAATGTTAGTATGTTTGCTACATTTTTAAAATATAAAAAAAATGTATATACTTTGACATATGTTTTAATAAAAAATCAAACTCTAATGATACTCTTATACACTTAACATTATAACTATCCGCCCCTATCCATAAATCACTGAACTCTAATGATACTCTTATACACTTAACATTATACAATTGTAAAAGTTATGTACCTAAGTTAACATTAACCGATTTAAAATATTGATATATTGATAATTAATAGTAAAGGATGCTCCGTTCATAATTACTATTGAGTTAATTTTTTTACTACCACATTATCTTCAAATTTACAATTTTCCCATACATCTGCTGTATTTTGAATATAGTTTATGCAGCATTTAATTCTATTTATTAAATGTTTCACAGGGTATCTCTGATGTCTTAATTGCAATGAAACAACTTGTGAACCTACCAAAAACCAGTCCAATGAACTCTTAATAACCCATGGGCATCCATTTTCTTGACAATACTTTACAAAATCCAAATTTCCACTATACGCAGAGAGGGCACACATATTGGACCTCCATTGGCAGCCATTTTGAAGTGCATATTTCAGACAGTCTAAGTTTCCGTAACGTACAGCATACTTGGTTACATTTTCAGACATTAAACCACCATTCAAATGTGCATATTTTAAGCAGTCTACATTTCCGTTAATTGCTGCTTCCTTACATATATTTAATAAACCAAAAAAACATCCATGTTCATGTGCATATTTTAAAATACCAATTCTTCCATTACCTGCTGCATGAAGACAACTCCAATAGGGTAATTTCATTCCCATTTTATGACCGTGTTTGAAACAATCAAAGTGTCCATATTGTAGTGCATACATCATAGTATCATTGGAGCCTTGCATTAAAAGTATACAGCACTCTCTTACATCAATTCTAGGTGTTTGCAATTCATTATACCTTTTCTTTTCATATTCATTGCACCTCATATATGACAATTTGGTTAAACTGAACACATTGATACTGTTTGGTTCTAGATCTTGATTTGACATAACCTAGAAAAATAAATGAGACTTAATTGACAATGGAAGACTTGCTTAATTTTTTAATCTATTGAACTTATAGTATTGAACAGTTTGTTCACTAGTATTAATCATACCAACAACAAATGTTGTACACTTGGTTTTTATTATTTTCTCATATAAAGTAATATAATATAAAAATAAATTTATTGAAATAATTATGTAATTTTAATCATTAATAGTTCTACTTTTAATTAAGTAAACAATTCAATATTGGTGTTTGACTATTAAAACTTTTTCATTTGATTAAGCTATACCAATATAAATATAAATAATAATAAATAAATACATTTATTTCACTAATAACAGGAATAAATACATTTTAAAAAGAATAAACGAAAATATTGATCTCACTATAATAGCCTGTGGCTGTTATGAGAGTAAGAATTATAATTGTAATATTTAACAGAAAAATATAATACTATAATAAATCATAAAAATTAAGTTAATATAATATGAACTAAAATTAAATTTATATCATAGTTTTAAGTGAGAAATTATTAAAATCGATAGAATTTATGTACTGTTGAAATAATATATTACAATTGTGTTATCAAAATAATGTAAATTAATTTTTGAAGTATTACACATTTTACAGAATACTTATATAAATAGACATTCATGTTTGTAAGCACAATGCATTTAAATTATTACGGCTACAATCTTTGTAGGTGTTTTTACTAAGGTCTTGACTTGAAAAATATAAATTTAATAATATTTAACTTATTACTAGTTAGTATGTTTATTGTAAGAACCTCCCCAAAAGGGTAGACCACAAGTAAATACAGACTGAATATAGACTGAACAAAGCTAATAGATGTTATGCATTTAAAGACCTGAATTATATTCTCTTAAAACTCCTAAAATGTGATGCTAATATGCTCTAAAACCCCCAAAATATTCTCATTATTTTCTCTTCGAAATTTCAAAATTATGCAAAATAATTAATGAACATCAATATATCCTTATGTCTGCAATTTTTTTTTTTTACCGCATTCCTTTAGTTAATTAATTAGTGAGGTATATGCCCACTCATAAGTTTTTAAAATTAACAAAATAAATAGAAAAAATAAATAAAAAAATAAAAAAATACATAAATAAATATCAGGCAATTAAATATGTCATAGAAAAAACAAATTTGGACATTTGTTTATTTGATAAACATAAGTACATTGATCTTATCAGTACGAAAACAACTGCCAGCATTGCAGGTTAACCACTATGTTAGTGGATGGCATGGAAATTTATGATAGGTGCTATAACATTGCCTATTTCATTTTCATCAAAATTACACAATTATAATTCTTTTTCACACAATTTACAAAATAAGCTAATTACTTCCTAATCCTCGAAGTATTCCCAAATATACAAAACAATTTTTTTCCTGTGGACCGTCTACATTTTTTACTCTCATTAACACTGCATACACTCAATAAGACAGACCCTGTCTTATAAATTAGAATAAATAATAATTGTGTTTTATAAAATATTTACAAATCTGAGTTTATATATTATATTATAATTATGATGTATGTTTCAATATTTGTTAAAATCAGTGTATCAGTGTATCGTTGTAGTCATATAATTCTTAAAATACATTAGATGCGCGCGATAAGATTGTGCGTAAGAACTGGCGATGCGGGTCATTCCAAATATGGTATTACATCAAATAGACTTTGCCTAACCTAACCTCGCGAAAATGGGACCATGGGTTACTGGGGGATTTTTAATCTGAGTGGGGTTTACTACCTACTTCATGAGACGCGTCTCGCCGATCGTAATAATCCCTGATGGGTTATACGGATACCTCATACCTCAATTATCGACGTCACAGTCGCATAGTCACGCCATCGTAATAGGTACGTCGTGTGTCATAATATTTATTGTTCTCATATTGTAATTTGTAATTTGTCCTCATGGCTGACGATTTAATTAATGCCATTTTGTATGAAGTTATGAACTACTCATATGGAAAAAAATTTGAATTAAAAATAAAATACCATGTCTATTATTGCCATTGCCTTATTTTCTAAGACAAAAAATAGAAAAATAGATTTAACAAAAAATGTGTGTTTTAAACGTCATCTTAATGCAAGTTGCATACATACAGTTAATTGTATAACATTTTATTTCGTTTAATGTACTAAATTTGTTATTATATAAAATTATTATTTTAAGGAAGTTGTAACGTTTTTAAATATAATACATTATTTTGTTTTAAGTTTTTGAACATTTATTTCTTATCCTATAGATAAAATAGATAATCCAAAACATTTAAAAAAATGGCAGAATGACATTCTTTATATGATTAATATGTGTGTTCCATTTAAGTAAATTATCAATAAAGTGTTATGATTATACACAACCAAATAAAATAACGTAAGCAAAAAGAAATAATTTATTAAAAGTTTATACTTTATTATAATTGCGGCTAATGATATACATACGATGTATCGGTTCAGAAGTAACAATAAGACTGACTGGCCTCCCATATAGTGTCTTAGACGACGACGCTCCGTGTCACAATAGAATCCCTGTGTCAGCGGATTCCACGGTCTCGTCGTCGTATAACACACTACTCCTGATGTTCATAAAATTATCATGTAAAATAAATATCATATTATAATATGATTCAGGGGTTCGTAACAAAAGACATGTTTTATAGAATTAACTTTTTCCATAAAAAATTTCTAATTATTTTTAAGATTTGTTGATACATTATTATGTATAACATCATTATATTTAATATCATCTAAAATTAAAGCATTAATACTAAAATGCAAAAAGCAGGAGTTTTCAATATTTAACTGTAACGAGTTATTATTTTTTTAACTAATAATAAACTTTCATTAGCTTTTCCATAAAGCTCATCAATGGAGTTATCATTAAATAACAATACTGTACCATATACAAAGCGAATCATTTTACCATCAATATTGAGATTTAGTAATCCATTTATATACATCAAAAATAATTTTAGACCTAATACTGTGTCTTGCGAGACACCAATAGCAGTTTCCATTTCTTTACTCAAATTTTTTTTAAATTTTGATCATGAATTTTATTAAAATAATATGATTTAAATAAACTTAATAGAATTCCTCGTGTACCATAGAACTCAAGTTTTTCATAATTTTATTTTGGTCAAAGGAATCAAAAGCTTTCTTTATATCAAAGAATATTCCTAAGACTTTAGTATCATAACAATATTTTCATAACTATAACCAAGAACTTAACTATTATTTGAAATACAGTTTATTCAAACTGATATGTGCAATTGTATACATATCAAATTAAAAAGTAAGTCAATTTAATTACTAATACCATAAATTGTATTATGCAGAAGCTCACAAAATTACAATAATTTTTTTAAGTACCTACCTATATAAAGTTGAATATTTAATGATAACCCTAGTTAACCATTTGTCAATTTGAAGAACATTGATACTGATTTTGTACAATTGTATACTGATTATATTTAACATGTTACGCTTTAGTCCCTTTTCTACCTATTTATCAGATTTTAGATGTTATTAAATATTTTAAATTATAAGGTTCAAAAATGCAGTCTTAATAAACACATAGCAATTTTCAATAATGGTATAAATATAAGAATTGAATTATCTCGCTTATGAAACTTTCACTTAAGTGCCCTGTAAATATTTTATCATAATAATTATATGTTTTTATTGGAATTACTTAATATTTCCATATTATATTTACTAATATGATATAATGTGCAGCAATGCTACACTCATTTGTTTGACAAATATTTAACAATTAAGGTATAAAAATAAGGTTAGTGTTATAGGATTAACAGCTAATTTTATAACTCAATAAATATTTTAAGTAAATAAGTTTTTACTTAAATCTTTTCAATTTTTCATATAACGTTGAAAACAATTATAATTCCTCAAGTTGGTTAATAATTGGTTTAGTAATAATTAATAGCTATAAAATCAATAAAAACTGATCAAATGTGGTCATAGAAAGCTGTATATAAATGTTGTGTAGAAATCAACTTTTTATAAACATTTTATACAGTTTCCACGATATCGTTGTGCAATACATATATTATATTAATTTTATGACTCAACAGTGATCACTAGTAAGCATGGTCTTGAGTAAAAACTAAATGGGTGTTTTAATAACCGTCTACTGAAATAGGTATTGAAAAGCAGTCATTCCATTAGTAAATTACTATCTCAGTATCATACTGATTGCATACAATATTTTTGACAAAAATATTTAGGTAATTAATACTATTATATGTTTATACAATTGGTTTTAAAATATAACATGAACAAAAATCTATTTTCAAAAATGGGCATAAGAATAAATATAGTCATTTTAAAATGATTTCTAGGATAGTCTTGAATACAGAAGGATTACAAATAGATAAATTGACAAATGAAACACATGATTATTGCTAGGTAGATATATTTATAAAAAACAATAAGTGTTCTAATTCTACCAAGTAAAAATGATTTAAATTTAAAATAATTATTATGCCACAAAAAAATGAAAAGCAAGTAATTCCAGTATATAGCTAAAACGCCAAAAATATTTGCAATTACTGCAACAAATTATCTGAATTTCAACTTGTATGATAAAGTATAAAGATAACTTGACAAGTTGATATTTTTTTTGTATTTGAGTGCCTTTTTATTCACTGTCAACTTTCATCAAAAATTTGATTATGTAATAACACTTCTAATCAGTGGCGGCGCGAGAGGATTTATGTGAGACAAATGTCTCACAGCTAAAAGGGGTGGTGGGTGGGTACCGAGTAAGACACAACGTATCAAATAAATAAATATATAAATAGTCATATTCATATAGAGTATAGACTATATAGTATAGACATAAACATGGTTTATAAATAATGTATAAGTGTATTGAGAAAAGAATTAATGTTTGGATAATTGTTTTAATTGAAAGTAGATTCAATGATTTATTAATAAAGCAGTAGTATCCGTAACATGAATTTTTAGAAAGGCTAATTTGATATAGAATTATAATAGGGGGTCTGGGGGCATAGAACCCCACAGCTCAGTGCAAAATAAAAAGATGGGTCGTGTGTGCTGCAACTAACATTTTCTTGCCTCACTACCGAAAAAGTTTGCGCCGCCACTGCTTCTAATAGTTGTATATAATAGTGGCATATCTTATGGTTACACAAGTCACCTAAAATATGAATATAGTCAACTCTATGTGGCAAACTATGTGTAAGTGTGTGCAGGAGGCCCCCAATTTGGTGTTTGGGCAATAAAACGTACATACCTCAGAGTCACCGCTACCAGCAGCCAAGCTGATCGTTGATCTAGAAAAAACAATTTTTCTCACTTAAACATAGAAAAGAAAAAACGTACACTACTATGTTTGTTGTGTACAAGTTATACTAGATGATAAACGGTCACTTCCTACTTACTTATCACTACTTCTTACATAGGCTAGTGCCCTGGAGAGGTTCGGATCGTCACAAAATAATTTGGAAGAGTTGACAACAACAATCGTGAAATATAGACGTGGAACGACAACGAATAAACGTTTACAATCGGAGAGCCGTTTATTGTTGCTTTTTGATAATAGTATAGTTTCTTTCTAGACGAATTCCGAAGTGAGGTAGGGTCGTCCAGGCAGCGTTATTGACTTTTCACCACTTTTGTGCCGTAGCCCGTTGAAGTGTCGGACCATAAGAAATTGAAGAATACAATTAAATACTATAAATTATATATTATTTAAAGTATTTTATACAATGGTGTAGGATTGTAGGACCATTATATTAATAAATAATTACTACCTACTATAAGCCACAGGGCATAGATAGAGATACTAGTTCGTGTTATTTTACGCAGCCAGGTAATCCATACTCCTTATCAGAACAGTTTTCTGTTTTTCCACCAACACGATATCATCACCATTCACCAACTACCGACAACCGACCATACCACAACCCGCGGTCGGTAACTGCAATACCGCATCCTCCGCTTTTCGCCGCCAGATCGCAGCGTATTAATGATACAATCGTTTAAATAATACAAATATTATAAAATATTTTAGTGGAATAGGCCCCACCGAACAATAATTTAGCAAATTACTATTAATTAATAGCCATTACAGAAAAAAAAATATTTTCTAAAGTTAGGAGCGTTGTGCATCAGTGTAATGTTACATCTACTTGCTAATACAATAGTACTATGTTATAGTAAATAGTAATATAGAAATGTCGAATTTTGGTAGGTAATATTCAAAAGGTTTGTCAACAGATCATCAATAAACAAGTATCTAGAGGGTACCTAGTGATGATAAATTAATAATAAATAATAATTGTTCTGTTATTCGGCGATCATCACACCTATAGTATAATAGGGCCTTCCTAAGGCCGGGGCAAACAGGATGCGCACTTGAAAAATCTTAAGTTTTCTTTAAATTCTACGATTTACATATTATATTACAAATATAGTTTGAATTTTTATTTTACAATATATTATAATGTTAATTAAATGAAATTAAGTACGAAATATGTCTTGTGCAATGTACAGTACAAACTAAGGTGAAGTGAATAGTAGGTATTCCATTTACTGTGTCTAGTTGGCAGTTGGTAGTTTTCAATGAAGGGGGGGCAAGGGTTTTAACCGGGTAAAAAAACTGATTGCTCAGCTCGCAAGCACATATTATGTATTTACATTTTTTAATTCTTATTAAATTGCCATTCCCACCTCACTTATTTTATAATTTAAATATTTATACTCGTATTGTTACAGCCCTCTTTACTAAGTATCAACATCATTTGCAAATATAAGGTAACACTGTGACAGATATTTTACAAAAACAATTGTATACCTATACGAATTAAAACTCTGTAAACTATTATGACAATTTTTATTGATTAACAATAATATTATTAGTTTATTAAAGGATATCTTCTTATCTTCTATTTTTGAAAATATATATCAACTACATCATCTAAATGCATTTTACCTGATACATGGTGTAATATACATCACTCAACCGTTAATTTCCCATTGTTAGCCATGGATGGGTTTTAACTAATTTTAAAAAAGAAAAAAGCGTTCATTGGAAGCAGTAGTAACAGGCAAAGTCATACAAATATTAAAAATCTTAAGAGTTTTTAGAAAAGCATTTGAAGTTGGTTTACAGTTTTAGAAATAAAATAAATGTCATGAATTCCATTACCTCGGTCTTTGTTTGCATGATTTATTACATTTTTTTCAAATGGAAATTCACTTTGAAGATGTTCATAATTAATTTTAAACTGTCTAAAATTGTCAATAAAGATAACTAAGTAGGGACTTTTTATATTAAAATAATCAATACTTGAGGATAAGAATATTACAAGTAAGAATGATTTCATAACTAGGATTTCTGATGTAATGGTTCAGTTCATTCAAAAATCTAAAACAAATAATAATAAAAAATATTTTATACTCACCAATTAATGCAGATAACGTAGTAGGTAGGTAGTTATTTTTTCAATTAAATGATATTAATAATTAATATAAATAATATGAAAATATTAATTTAGGCTTTCCCCTGTCGATTGTAGAATAAAAAATATTTTATTTATCACTCAATGGCAAGTTATTTATAGTTGTATTGCTGCTATTTTCAAATCTTGTCCCTTTTCCTATTGTAGATTGAACAAAAAAAATCATGAAGATTTCTATTTAATTTCACTGGTCTTCGATTTCTTTAACTATTTTCATCAGCAGTTTCAGTTTTCAGCAATTAATTAGTATTTCCCCAAAATGTATAGTTACTCATTTTTAAATATTTTGCTATGTATTTTCTAATAAATAAATCTCTGAAGATTTTATAAAACTGGAACCTTGAAGTTCTACTGAAGCACAATGAATGGTTTGTAATAAAATCTCCATAGCATGAGAAGTTTTCATAAATAAAATACCTATTGGAAATTGAATTGAATACACAAATAGCTTTTGCAGTTTGATCTCCCTAATGACTTAGTTTAAATAGAACATCCAAATTTCAGTAAAATGCATATTAATTTTTTGTATTGATCCGCAGCAATATGCCCATTCTGTTTCTGCCAACCGTTCCAAATAAATTACAGATATTAAAACAAATGTTACATTTACATTTAAACAAATGTTTATCTCTTTGAGATCTGACAAATAGCACATACCTTGTCTGCTTATTCATTGACAATTAAAAAACTTATACAAGTTTTTAATTGTATTGAAAAAATTACATTATTGGGGTAGATAATTGTTTTGTAGTGTTTGAACTAAACATAAATTTAACTTTTAAGCGGGGAGCATAGCAGTGTGACGCAGCTACGGCGGTTTTCGATTGTTCATTATAGGCCGGTCGCTGTCGGATTTGAGGTGATTGTAAGTAATGACGTCCAAAGTTCAAACAAAAGAAACTCGGACAAATATAGTGGTGGTATATTTTGTTCGTTTTATTGTGATTACGAACAGTTTCAATAAATATAAAAAAATTCAATACCATGTTGGTGAGGTGATGGTTTGCTTGTACATGTTAAATCTACGACGACAAGCGCAAGAGACTAAGAGAGCGAGGCAATCGCCGGCTGCCGGTACTTGTCCAGCGCAACTTATCTTCCAGTACTCACCTTGTGCCTTTGCGGCGCGGCGGTAGAGTCGACAGTATCACGTTGTCGTAAGACTCTTAACCCGAGTTGGTGGTTGGGGGCAATGTTGAATACCGGTGAATGTAAACCACAAATTTTTTTTCCAACCAACTAATATTATTTTTTTCTATTATTATAAATTATAATAATTACCTATTTATAGAATTGATTTTTTTTAAAAACAATCATTATTAAATTTATTGATTTACCATAATATTACGAATATTTTGATTAAATAACAAAAAAAAATTAACAAGTATCGTCATTTTATTTGTATAATAAATTATAATTTTATTATTACCTATTTATTTGAATAATATTTAAAAACGTGGCACTTGGAATTACATAGTCTGTCTGCTTTTCTACACTTGATTTTTATATAGGTAGTACGATAAGTAACAAAAATAAGTGTATACACAGTGTTCCAAAAAATTCATAGTTTATTGTATTAAGATACATAAATAAAATTAATAACGATTGTTTAAAAAAAATATCAAATAGGTAATAATAATAAAAAATAATATTAGTTTGTTAAAAAAAAAATCGTGGTTTACATTGCCCGGGCAGGACCACATTGTCCGAAACAGACCGATCGATATAGTGCCTGTAATACGTACTGGCCGCCGTTGCGTATCGGTATCATGTCAAGTGGACATAAATGGCATAAGGAACTTTCGAGCGTATTCTTTCTTGAACACCGGAACACTGCCAACTCCTAACAGAAGAACCATTGTAGCATTGTCCAATAAAGTTCATGATATCCAATTTATTTATTGATAGTATTTTAAGTATTTCACTTGCCAAACTTTCAGCATTTGAATTAATCTGTGGTAGGCGGTAGCAACAAATTTATCTCTCTCAAATATTTAGTTTTTTTTCTACAAACCGTATTAAAAAAACTTATTTGTTCTTTTTTTGATAAGTGTTTGCTTTCATCAACCATAATTGTATTAACGTAAAACTTATTTATTACGTTTGATTATATTAAACACAGTAAATGAGGCCTTGTAAATTGAGCTATACTACTTATAAAATCATTTTGATACTCAGAACTAATATAGTGATCGTAACGTGCCTGTAATCATAATTTTATTTTATCATCGACAAACATTTCTACAATGTCTAAAAAGTTGAACTTGTTTTTAGAAATATCAGACTCATTAGTCATTAATATTAAATGCTAAAATTTGTCCAAGAAATGCTAAACCCTGTTTTGACAGAAAATGTGCCTCCTTTGATAAAAATTTTAAAATGTTATCTATTTTCAAAGATATTTTGTTGTTGCATGTTATTTTATTATTTACTTCCGGGCCCGTCTGACTCTGTGGACATAGTGGAAAATGGTTGACTATTATCACAGTTAAAATATAAAACTGGAAAAAATTTACAATTTACAACTTATGATATCATTTTTAACCGCCTAAAAACAGGGGATAAAGCGGAACTCAGTCCTCCTACCTCAAATGGTGGTTAAAAATGTCCCCTTTAATAAATTATTTGTAAAGTATGGTGGAAAGCTTCAAATTATAACCAAACCATTTAGCTGTACATAGTTATAGTTTGTTAAATTTATATTAAATTTATATTTATATATTATATATTTTTATTTATGTGGCAACTGTGGAAACTGCATTTTATTTTAACCTTGTTAATAACTAAGCCCGACTACAACTTTCTATTTTACGGTCAATAAGTGTTAGTAAACTGTTTACGTTAATGTCAAAAATATCACGACACTTAACCGTTAACACAACAATTGAAGATGTTGGGTCAATAACAACGATTTTGGCCAAAATCACTTTTTCAAATAGGAATGAAAAATGGAGTTGTAATACAAAATTGACATGTCTGATTGTACAATATTTAATGAAGGTGCCACAACAAGATATGTCTAAACAATATTTAATTACGGCACTACAACACAGCAACTAACCCAAACAAGTTGTTATTGCTTCTTTAAATTATATCAAAGGTTAAGCATTATATTTTATAAGTGCATATATTATATAATGCATACACCCTAAAACTAAAATCTACCGTTTTTTTTTTGTCTGCGTAATCATTTTAAAAAAGGGCGTGTTTAGTTGCTGCAACAAGATCTTCAATTATTAAGTAATTTATATACCAATCACTCAATAATTAAAAATAATGTTCACTTCAAAT